TCCCGTTGGAGTGATGTTTGCGATTGCCAGACACGTAGACGCATTGAGTGAGGAATGCTTCGTACTGAAACCTAAAGGGTTGATTAGTGTTGGATGTTGCCGGACATATAGACAGTTGAGTGAGGACAGATATATACTGAATATCAAAAGAGACTATAGTGACGGGACAATTCGAGACTGCAGTAAACGTAGGTCCCATCCCCAACCCGTACCCGACCCCCCCCTGAAAAATAGAGGCCATCCACCCCTCTCCGCCCCCTCTACCCCTCCCAGAGGATGAGGGGGGTACAGTCCAAAGTAATCACGAGCTTACCTAAGGTTAATACCTACTGGTGCGGCATTACTAACTACGATAGTCTAGTCCCATATTGGGCGGTGGAGGACTTAGAGCTAAGACACCTCAAAACTCTGCGGCGTGAGATCCAAAATGAATCGGACGGTGGAGGGATGTACTCATATACTCATAGTCGTGCATGCCGTAGTCGTTAGACCATTGACCTCGCATCCCTACAAAGCCGGGACGGAGCACGCCGGGTTCTCACCGGACCAGGCTCTCACATCACCAAGCGCGAAGCGCCGTGAGATATTCGGCGAGTCGCATGAAGGGTGCGCTGCATCCTGCTAAGGGTGTTCGGCATCTTGTGCTTACTTCCTTGCGTACGGATGACAGCTGCGTATGAATTAATTTATTTTCTGGTGCTTTCACTTCCAGAGACAGTTGTAAGCACTGTGTAACTGCCTCGAGGGTGCTTGACCATTTTAACACAACGTGGTGCGATCATCCCCCTTGCGCGGAGTGAGGGTTCACCCCGCACAACATGATCTACTCAACCATCATTATGGTTACCGCCCAAAAAAAATAAACGGAGGAAAAAAAAAAAAACGGTAACCTGGTTGCCGAGTTCACGAAGTGAATTGGCTTGTTTTACAACGTCGTTGCCAAGCGACGAAAACCCAATCCCGATGGCAAACACCGGGGGGGGCGGCTTGTTTTACAACGTCGTTGCCAAGCGACGAAAACCCAACCCCGATGGCAAACACCGGGGGGCGGTGGAGGGGGGGGTTGTTCGTTGCTTGAAGTGGATCTATCAAACACAGAGCCATCAAAGCAAAGCATATTTTCTCTCGTCGAGCAAGCTGACAAGCGACTTGACCAACCACGCAAACACTGCGGAGCTAGATGTGCGGCACGCACAATGCATTGTTTTTGATTGTTGAGAGGCGAGTATTAGGCGGTGAGGAATTGTTGGCTAAACGTTCGTCAGATAGGTCTACTCGGGAGCGCAAGTAGGTGGCAACCCATGGTGGAGCGTATACAAGAAGCTGGACGTTGGTGTACGCTCCATCCCGGCATGTGAGGAGGACCGTAGGATAGGCAAATCGCCCCTGAACATATTTTGGTGAAAATGACCTCCTAGCAGGAGATTAGCTTGTACCACGGGACTTCGGAGATGATAAATTGGGTGGCCGGGGGACGTCTGGGTGTTCTTAAGCAGAGTGCCCGGCTTAAGACTAGGGTACTTGTGCCTGAAGGTGTGTACTTAGATCTAGACTACGGGCCTATGTTGGAGGCCCTATGTTGCGTCGGTGAGCCGGCAAAAGAACTGAAAGGAATCACCCCGCCGGACACTCGGAGTGGGAAGGCCGAGTATTCCGAATAACTTCCTTAAAAAGCAGGAAAAACAAGTGGCCACGGCCCAGTTGACGTAGAGATCATGAGGATGGTGAAGAAGCCAGGAGGTTGGAAGCAGAAACTGTAGAAGGAGGACAGGTTGGAGCTGCGGCTGTTTGGGATTCCAAGGGACATGACGAGGATAGAGTTCAAGAACTGCCGTGACAGGGAGGGACTCCACTGCCTTGCAAAGGGAGAAATACGCAGAGACCATGAACATTTCCAGGAGAAATTGACCAAGGGAGACAGCAAAGAGTGCTTGGGGGTTGACATCGAGAAGCTGTCGAACTACGCAAGGAAGATTGGATGGAGGGTTTGCATCGCGAACATGATAGAAACGGAGAAGGTTAGGAGACAAGAAGCGAGGGCGATGGAGGCAAAGAAAGGACCGAGCAGGGGAGTCGAGCAAGCAAGTCAGAAGAAGTCCGAGAAGAAGCGGAAGGCGAACGATAGAGTGCGTAAAATCTCCAATAGGGAAAGGCGCAAGCTGAGAGTTGGGTGGAACGTGTGCGGGTTCGCAAGGAGTGAGCGCAAGCGGTTGGAAATAGTGGACCAAGTAGAACAAAGCGATCTAGATGTAGTGGGGATCCAAGAGACGTGGGAATTGAAGGATGGGGACGTGGTAAGCAAACTAGGAAAATACCGGTGGGTAGGGAAGGCAAGAAAGGGCTTAGACCCGAAGAAAAGTGGGGAGGGGGGAGTCGGATTCCTTATCAAGGAACACTTGTTTGACGTGGTGGAAGTCGTGGGGACAACGGAGTTCGAGGAAAGCCTATGGCTTAAGATACCTGGGGAGCGGTGTGAGAAAGATTTGTTTCTAGGGAACGTATACGTCCCACCGTCGTCGAAGAAAGTCGCAAGCAAGGCGCAGGAGAACTTTGGACAAATTGGGGAAGATGTCCAGAGGTTCAGTAGGAAGGGAGAAGTTGTCATGGTGGGCGATTTCAACTCCAGAGTAGGGAAAGCTTCCAGCAGAGGACAGGCGATCGGGTAGCAAGGAGAAGATAAAGTGAATGACAACGGAGTGAGGATGCTTGAATTCTTGGGNTGTCGCAAGCAAGGCGCAGGAGAATTTGAGACGAATTGGGGAAGATGTCTGGAGGTTCAGCAGGAAGGGAGAAGTTGTCATGGTGGGCGATTTCAACTCCAGAGTAGGGAAAGCTTCCAGTAGAGGACAGGCGATCGGGCAGCACGGAGAAGACAAAGTGAATGACAACGGAGTGAGGATGCTTGAATTCTTGGGAAGCAACGAACTGATGGTGTTGAACGGTAGGAGGGAATGCGATAAGCCGGAGTTCACCAGGCAACGGGCAGTTTGCAATGAATACTCAATCCTCGACTACATCCTGGTAGATAGGGGGAGCACGCAGATCCCAGAGCTGCACATAAGCGCGATAGAAATAGGTTGGACCGACCACTTCCTCATATGGGCAAACATCGACCGATCTAGAAAGATGGAGAGTAAGAAACAGAGGAAAGTGTTCCGGTGGAAAGTAAAGCGTTTGGAGACGGGGGGACCCGGGATGGGGACTGGCTGGTAGTGTAGAATCCTTCAGGAAACTGATGGCAAGCGTCGAAGACGGACAGGTAGATGTACAAGCAGCAGGGGACAGGGTGATTGAAGGGTGGGAGTCCATCGTGAACGCAACGGCAGAGAGAGTAGTGGGAAGGAAGGTGGTACGATGTGGGGTATCGGTTAAGTGGTGGGATGACGAGCTGAAAGAAGAAATAGGGGAACGTAGNGTGGGAGTCCATAGTGAACACAACGGCCAAAAAGTAGTGGGAAAAAGGTGGTGTGATGTGGGGTATCGGTCAAGTAGTGAGATGAGCTGAAAGAAGAAATAGGGGAACATAGAGAAATCTTCAAGCAGCACCTGAGTGAGGCGTCTGAGGGGAGTTGGGAAAAGTATAGGGCCAAGAGAAAACAGGTGAAGGGACAAGTGGAAAGAAGAAAAAGTGCATTTGGGACGAAGTAGTGCCAACGGAGGCCTGGAGGGGAACGTCAAGCAGATGTGGGAAGGGATACGTGGGATGGGACAAAAGACCGTACAGGGGGGGGATACAGGGGTAGCAACTGTGCGAGGTGTGAACGGTGGCCTAGTCAGCAGTGGGGGTGTACTCATAGTCGTGCATGCCGTGCCGTTAGACCATTGACCTCGCATCCCTACAAAGCCGAGACGGAGCACGCCGGGTTCTCACCGGACCAGGCTCTCACATCACC